CGCCCGGCAAGGACAAAAGCTTTATCAGGCAGGGGATTTTCTGTGTCCAGATCAAGCAGCACTGTATCCTGGGCCCCTGACTTCTCACATCTCTCTCAGCTGAGGGTCAACTCTGCTGTCACCTTAGTCCTTCACCAAAGATCCTCTAACCATCATCTTCTAACAACCTCACAACCTGTTCATTTTCACATAGTAGAAAATTCCTCAGAAGATATACGAAAAATGAAAGGGGGGGATATTAAATAACTGATGTTTCCTAAAGTTACCGGGGTTCATAGGACACTCACCGAGACAGCAATATTAATACTCATGAGGAATAATTTTGAGGTTTCAAGTAACTGCTCTTTGTACCCATGATCACGGATAACAGAGGTCTACTAAATCCCACTGCCTACACTGTATAAAACAGACAGTTGGGATCTACCTTCCAAGTCTGTGCTTCTTGAATGATAAAGCCTTTCAGTGTGATGGTTACAGTTAATACTTTCCATGTAATAAATGAGTTTCTATTTTTCTTTTCAAAACAGTGAAGATAAACCATTTTCTCTTTGTCACTTGTAAAATGCAAACTATAAATATATGTAAGGTAGTGATAAACCATAGATAATGACTTTTATTAACAAAAATGGAAAAATCTAAAACAACTTCAAATTAGGACTCCTGGAAATTGACTGAACTGTTTGGAGTGGACATAATGGACCTTTTGAGAAGTAGAAGATGAGACATTATATAGATGTGTACATGTTCTTGGAATTACATCCTTTCTTAATTCCTATGGCGGCAGCAGCTGCAAATCACCCAAATGCACCACACAGGAAGACATTTCCAACCTGATAAATGTGTAATCGGTACAATAGGTTTGCAAAGACCTGAAAGCACCCCCTAAATGGAGCTACTCCAACAAGCTCCATGCACTCTGTCTCCATTGCTTCAATCACCACTTAGAAGGCAGAAGAATTTACCATATCATGCAAATGGAAATTCAGTCATTAATAATCCTATAATTAATCACCTTGGATGATTATAGCCATCCTATAAGATATCCTCTGAAACTTCATCAGCAGGATAAAAGGTCTGATTTGCCTAACCCTGTTCCAAGCAACTCTTGGCTTTTAACCTCATATTCACTGTGGGGACCTTTTACTTCCTCACATGTCTTCTCATGTCCTGCAGGCTTTACACTTCTGTCACATCCACTGTAAACCCTAGCTCAGACCCGACATTAGTGAAGGGTAATGGGACAACTTATGAACTGGTCCTGCTCACAACACCTGAAAGTCCTCCACACTTCAACTCGTTTGGTTCCTAAGTGCTGTCAAGACACAGCACAATTATTTCCAAATTATGTTGCAAGCCATTTATGGCCTAATTCCAAGTATATTTTTAAATAAGTAACAGTTGATTTAGCAATGTCTATATTGCTCTCCATTATATTTGATATACTTTACTTTTTACTAATTTTTACTTTATTAGTACATATTTATTGCTCCAAATATTGGGCCTTATTATGACATTTTTAGATACGTACACAACGTAATTTGACCAGACCCCTGTATTTACTTCCATAGTACCCACGCCCACCCTCACTAGTCCCCTTCTTCCAAACAGTCCACCTTCTGGCTACGGTCTTATATAACCACAATTGAATCTGTTCAGTGAAATTGCAACATGATTATAACAAACTGAACTGGACTACTTCTAAGTAGAAGAGAAACTCTTCCATTTTAGTTTCTTTGTTCATGTAGTTATCTGTTCTAGCAGTCATCCTCAATCCATGTAGTCTCCCTAATTCTACAGACCAGAACAAATCTCTCCTTTGATTCTTTCAGCATGCTTTAACCTAGGCAAAGACAGAACCATAATTATTCTGTGCTTTACATATTCCACAATTATGAGTTTTTTTGATGAGCTGTATTCCTATTTTCACATAACACCGTACCTAACATAATGCCCAGAATACAGTCAATACCCAAACAGCTCCTGATTACCATGGGATAAAGGACAGAAGTTCTAAATCAGTTAATGTTTCAGGATCAGCAGGAATAGGTCACTCAAAATCTAAATGCCTATGGGTGCCTTCTCATCCTTCCTCTATCACAGCTTCCATTTAAAGCCATGATCCCACCACTTACTGACAGCCCAGTACAGTAACCAAAACAGTTTCCTTGGAAATCAAAATCCATTCAAAAAGTGAGACCAAACATCAGTATGGAAAACATAATTCTTCTTTTCTGGGGGAGAGGGAGCTGTGGTGGAAATTAATAAAATATGTATTGTGTAGAAGAGTGTGTACCCTTAAAACACACAGAAACACTACAAAGCATTCATCTTCAATGTTAACTACATACAATGACATTGTTCCCTTTTAAATGATTCAAGAAGAAAAGCAAAGGGAGGCAGTATAAAATCATTAGGAAACAGGCAAAATCATCAGTTTAGAATGAGAACTGAGACACACACCCCAAAGGTGCTCTGGAAATTGTAACCACCTTGTAATTGTGCTCAGAAACAGTCAATATGCTTAAATTATAAGCCAATCTCCCTATTTATAATAAAGCTAACTTTATAATTTCATCAGTAATTGAATTTCAGAAGGCACTGAACATTAATCTCCACCTTGTAGAGGTATTTCAGTGGTGTTACCATGTAAAAGATGTGTGTGCCTAAGACATACTATTACCTAAGACATATGCATGCCTATATCTATTGATGAACTATCCATAAGACCTAAGATATAAAATTGTCTGAGATGTCCATCAACAAAGAACTAAAGAAAATAAAATGGAATATTACTGAGCCATAAAAAACAGTATATACTAACATTTAGGGCAAAATACATGGAACTGGTAGACATTATACTAACAATAGAAACAGAAAGCTAAATAAGAGGTTCTCTTGCACACCTAGATACTAAAGAAAGGTTTACCCAAATGTGGAATGTGATTTCTCGAGGCAGAAAAGCTGTAGAAAAGGTGTAGGTGATAGAGGTTAGATAATGAATGGGTACCCAAACATAGAAAATAAGTTCCAGTATTCTGGTGTGTCTTCTACAACACAGAGGGGTGACTTAGAGATCACAGTTACACATTTTATGATTAACTAGAAGAGAGGAATGTTGCAAACACAATGAATGACAAGGAGTTGGAAACATCACACTTTCCTTGACAGAATTTTCTATAGTATTAATCTGAACTCCGCCCCTCTCACCCACACACTTAATATTCAAGGTTTAGCAGGGCATAGACCTAAGCTAAAATCAGGGACAGTGTGAATGGTAAGAAAGAGGGTAAAATTATTTCAATTATTCACGTGAAAGTTGAGATAAGCAGGTAGAACCTCAGGTGTAGATTATAACATGGAGACTTCCTAGCAGGGGGTGTTGGCGCATACCTGTAATTCCTACATTCAGAAAGCTAAGGTAGGAGGATTGTGAGTTTAGAGCCAGCCTGGGCTATATGGTCAGTTCAAGGTCAGCTTGGGTCATAGTGAGACTCTGGAAAAAGCTTCAGCTTTCTTTAGCAATTTAATCTATAACAGAGTACAAATTCCAGTTGTCCCCTTTCTTGGTGTAAGTCTAAAATGCTACAAAAGAATACAAACATACCCTGATACTTATATGGCTTGTTTAAAACATAAAGATTTGCTTTGAAGAGAGAGATTCCGATGACATGTATGGTTACTTGTGACTCTGAATGCTGCTGGCGATACCCTGCCCTCGGGGGCCTGCTGAGTGGGTCAGGGTTCCATCTGACGGCACCAGGAGCTCTTCAGCGCCTGCTGTTGCCCAGGTCTGTAATGCGGCAGGAAGACCTGCAATCCTATGCTGACATCATTTCCCCAACACTTATTTTAACTGCTGCTATTTTATTCACTGAAATACAATAAAAAAGGGGCTGTTGAGAGACCAGCCATGCTGCTACAACCAATCCCATTAGTTGTATGACCACTCTATTGACAACTTCCTGCAGACTCAATTTTCCAACCTGTACAATGGCCTCAGTGCCCTGCCAACCTGACTAGGTTATTCCAACTAGCTATCTAGAACAGGGGCACTAACAAGATTTGTACAAAACTGTTTGCTAGTGATAGGGCCACCCATGTTTCTTTCTAACTCCCGAGATACTGGACATTCCAAGAATCATCTTGCAAAAAAAAAAAAAAAAAAAAAAAAAAAAAAAAAAAAAAAAAACAAAATAAAATAGCGGCACATCTACAAGGTGGGTATTATTAAAATGCATGCTGCTGAAGTCATGTGCTACCAGCTACATCTTTTTA